GTGAGTAATGTTAAGGTAAGTAAAGTAAGTAAGTGACCGAGTTGAGAAAGTAAGTAAAGTAAGTGAGCTGAGTAAGTAAGTAAGCATGTGAATAAGTAAGTAAATAAGTAAATGAGTAAGTAGAAAGTACAGTTAAGTGAGTAAGTGAGTAAGTAAGTAAGTGAGTGAGTAAGCTGAGTGAGTGAGTGAGGTGAGTGAGTAAGTAAGTAAGTGAGTGAGTAAATGAGTGAGTGAGTGAGTAGGTAAGTACTGTAAGTAAGAAGGGACACGCGTTAATGGACTGTCGACCATCGTCGGCGATGAGAAGCGAGACACCTGGTGACAATGCGAGAAAATGCGGGAATGCGTCGCAATGACGACAGCAAATCTACTGGAAACGTTCACTGTAATTCGGGCAGTCCAAGATAAACTTAAACTATCGATATACGATTACGCGCTTGAAAATAAACCGAAAATGTTTTTAAAAAAGGTGAGAGTTGAAAGCAGTGAAATTTTTTTTGGGGGCAGAAGCACCACCACAGCTGACATAACTAACACTGACCAGTAACAGCAACAGCAGCAGCAGCAGCAGTAGCAGCAGCACCAGTAGCAGCAGCAGCACCAGCAGCAGCAGCAGCACCACCACCAGCATAGCAGCAGCAGCAGTAGCAGCAGGGCAGCAGGCAGCAGAAGCAGCAGCGTAGCAGCAGCAGTAAGGCAGCAGCACCACCACCAGCAGCAGTAGCAGTAGCAGCAGTAGTATGTAGTAGCAGCAGCAGCAAGAAGCAGCCAGCGCGTAGCAGCAGGCAGTAGCAGGCAGCAACCAACCACCAGGCAAGCAGTAGCGTAGCAGGCAAGTAAGTAGTATAGCAAGCAGCAGCAGCAGCAGCAAGCAGTAGCAGTATGCAGTGCAGCAGCAGCAGCAGCAGCAGCAAGCAGGGTAGCAGAGTATCGCCACCACCAACAGCCACGTAACTAACAACTGTACCGGAGTACATCGACGCCGATGCCTCAGCGAGAAATCCGACTCCTGCATCGCGGCGAGATTCCGTCCTCCTCCGCGCCGCCATCCCGGGCCCTTCTCCTTCTCCCTCTCCCTTCTCCTACGTTCAGCAGCAAGTCAACCCCGTCGCTCGACCCGCCCTCCCTCCCGACGACGACCCCGCAGCAGCGACCCCTCCGACGTGCTCGCGCGACGCGCTCGTGCTGTGGCGCCGCGCTGTCGCAGTAGCAGCAGTAGTAGCAGCAGCAGCAGCAGCAGCAGCAGCAGCAGCAGCAGTAGTAGTAGTAGCAGCAGCAGCAGTAGTAGCAGCAGTAGTAGCAGCAGCAGCAGCAGCAGCAGCAGCAGCAGCAGCAGCAGCAGCAGCAGCAGCAGTAGCAGCAGCAGCAGTATCGCCACCACCACAGCCGACGTAACTAACACTGACCGGAGTACATCGACGCCATGCTCAGCGAGAATCCCGACTCCTGCATGCGCGCGAGATTCGTCCTCCTCCGCGCGCTCCCGCCCTTCTCCTTCTCCCTCTCCTTCTCCTCGTTCAGCAGCAAGTCGACCCCGTCGCTCGACCCGCCCTCCGACGACGACGAACCCGCGCGCGACCCCTCCGACGTGCTTCGCGGCGACGCGCTCGTGCTGGTGGCGCCCCCGCTGTCCGTGCGGCCGTCGCTGAGCAACGGCATCCCCGCCGCGCCGCCGCGGGACTCGCACAATCGCTCGCGCCGCCGGATGCGAATGCGCTGCTTCAGCTCCTGGATCTCTTCGTCCGACTCTTCCTCTTCTTCGTCGGGGTCGCCGGGTCGTCGCCGCGCCGCCGCGTTGCACTTCATCTGCTCGATGGCGGCGATGAGCGCCTCGGAGATGCCAAAGTGCGCGTTCTCACGCACGAGGTTCGAGCATGTCGCGAAATCCTGCGACGCGAGGTAGCTCATCAGCGACTGTCCCTCCAGAGGGCGCCGGAGGTACGCCGCCGCCGCTCCGCCGCCGAGGGTGAATTCGCAGGGGGCGCCGGCGTCGTCGTCGTCGCGGTAGGGGGCACCGTTGTCGGACTCGTCCGGCGCGGCGGGGTCGACGTAGAACGCAAGCTGGTCCTCGGAGCGCGAGCGGTAGCGCACGAGATGCGACGACGGCGGAGGCTGCTGCTGCGCGGTCGCCGTCGCCGCGGTAACCTCCTCCTCCTCGGTCTCGTCGATCGACAGGTGCCGGGTCTTGAACGCGGCGTCGCGCGCGCGCGGCGGTGGCTCGCCGACCTTTGACCTCGCTCGCGTCGCCGCGACCTCGCGTGACCCTTCGCGAATCGTCGTCGGTGTCGCGGGAGGCGAGTCGCTGCACGAGAACCGCGTAAAATTCGCACGTGTGCGTCGATTTTCGCCTGACGCTCCCGCTCCCACCGGCGAGCCTATGAGTCGACTTTCCGGAGACGTCCCGGACTTGCGCGACTCTGCACCGCTCTCGCTCTCGCTATGCCCGTCTAACTCTCCGCCTGCGATCGTCTCTCTCCTGCGACCATCGACGGCATCGCGTCGCCGCGCCGCACCGGCGTCCGACCCCGGCCGGGTCGCCTCGCCCATGGGTTCGTTCCATGCCGTCGTCGTTCTGTCGCCGAAGTAGTCGCTGAGACTATCCGACGATTTCACGTTGTAGAAGCTGAAGGCACCGTCGACGCAGGGGCGCAGCGGCGACGCGTACACCGACAAGAGAACGTCCGTGGCCTCGCTCTTCAGTCCAGCCGTCGGCAGCGGCGCGGATTCTGCAAGGTCGTCGTGGAAACGCAAACTTACGTGCGGAACTTGATGGCGAACACAAGGACAGGAACAACTGCCATTGGGATGTTGCTCTCGTTACCAAGTTTTTGTGTGTGAAATGCACAGTTATAAATGTATAACCATAATAATTTTTCCTACCACTCCGTATACCTAACTGTATGTTTGGGCTTTTACCATGACTCTACTAAAAACTCACTGCATTTCAGCACAGTGCCGCTGCCAATCACAATCATAACACGTTACCTATGTTCAATTACTTAAATATGTTACCTATGTTAAATATGTTGTTGTGTTACCTATTGCTAAATTACTAGGGTGCATGCGGTCAAGAGTAGATAATAACAAAGAGTGAGTCACCCAGTTCCCGCATTTTTAACCGATTTTTCTCATCAAAATTTGCCACCAATAAAGAAGCGATCCCGCATTTTTAACCGATTTTTCTCATCAAAATTTGCCACCAATAAAGAAGCAAGTGTATACGTTCCTCAGCTTATTATGAACAAGTGTATAGTCTCCAGCTTATTATAAGACCACTAATCACTCAGCTTTCGTGGTTACTGATATTCGTTTACATATATTTTGCTAGCGTATTGCTGTAAATCGTAATCTTGCACGAGCTAAATTCGCACGATTTACCGCTGTTGTTGTTAGGTGTTTAGACAACTTTAGAGCTATAGTGGCGCCAATATTTAGCAACGGACTGCTTCCAAATCATTTCGTGCCCCAATAGGGGTTTAATGTCTTTATTTACGCTGCACGTTGCAGTAATGGATGATAACTTACTGCAAACTACTACAAAGAATATTTATTATTGATTAGAAATTTAGATTGTCTCTTAACCCCATCGGGGCAAGAATGATTTGGAAGCAGTCCGTTGCTAAATATTGGCGCCACTACAGCTTCTAAAGTTGTCTAAACACCTAACAACAACAGCGGTAAATCGTGCGAATTCAGCTCGTGCAAGATTACGATTTACAGCAATACGCTAGCAAATATATGTAAACGAATATCAGTACCACGAAGGTGAGTGATTAGTGGTTATAATAAGCTGAGGAACGTATACACTTGCTTCTTTATTGGTGGAAAATTTTGATAAGAAATATTGGTTAGAAATGCTGGAATCGGGTGTCTCACTCTTGTTATATTATCTACTCTTGATGAGGTCTATATCGATGCCACTATCAACCCATACCTTTTCTGCTGAGAGCTGGCGAAGGCTGCTCCCTAATGCTCAACAGACCGTCGACCGAAGATGGCTGAGCAAGCCGATTCACCGGCAGCGACGCGCTCCTCCTGTGCCGCTGCCTCCTCTTAGGACTCTTCGTTTTCACCGCACGACTCGCAAGCTGCATGAATCGGATATTCAATGCACAGTGACGCGTTTGATCTCCAGCAAGTGCAGAGGCAAGGTGGCACGCGCACTCTCGTAAAGTGCGACGCCGCTTAACAGGTGTTGCGAGGGCGGTGTCACGTCGTGTGAAAAGGCTGACAATGTTACGAGCATCGCCACATTTTGTGACAACGCTGACAAAGTTACAAGCATTGCGACCGGGTATGACAACGCTTACAATATCACAAGAATTGTTACACTGTATAACAACGCTTACAATGTCACAAGCATTGTCACCTGATGTAAAAAGGCTTATAATGTCAGAAACACTGTCACATGGTGTGACAAGGCTTACAATGTCACAAGCATTGTCACATGGCACAACAAGGGAAGCCAAGGGTCATGAACATTGCCACACGGTTTTCTATGTGCAACAAACTAAAGACATGCTTGATCGAACCCAAATATGGATCGTCTCAACAAAGAGCGTCGACTTACAAAAGACGTGTTAACGTAAGCGAGCTTTTCCGGTCGATTCTCCTCCAAAGCTGCGAGACAGTTGAGTGCTGCCTCAGCGCAAGCTTCCTGACAAAGGAAAGCACCATCTGAAAAACAACATAACGTCTTACCATACCAATATACTAACGGGATAGCTACGTGTACACACATGAAATTTTGCTCCAAACGTAAAAGACATGTGTACACATGTTGCTATGACTGGAGGAAATACATGTTGCGAGGACAGGGTTCAAACATGGCAACAGCAACAATGTGCCTTTGTACTATGAATTCCACATCGTGTAAATGTTTGTACGACATCAAAAGTATCAATAAAATATAATATGGTGACCCTCCTTTGATGAAGATGATTGCCTTGGCATCTTAGAGATCCTCCAATATGTCTTGCTGATCAAAAACGCCTGATTAAACTCTGAGAATCATTTATACATTTTATTCATACCTTTTACTACATCATACGTGTACATATAGTGAAGGTAATGTAAGGCTCTTCTACAATTTTATAATTAATATAAATTTGCAATACACAGTATGGTAAAAACCATAAGAAAAGACATAAAATTGTAATTTTTATTACCCACAAAGAGATAAGACTAGATGAAGATCCAATCTCATCTAAGAACAGATCTAACCTATACCTGTTTTCATTATTACCGATAATAAACCTAACAACAAAATTAATATGGCATTTAAGAGTAACAAGGCCTATACATGCCAAGGGTATTACATCCATGGCTCGGCATAGCTTGAGAAATCCCAAAGCACGTACACAATCGAATTGCTGACATTTTCGCTCGAGAGACTGCGACAATGCTGGCAATCAAGCATGTTGGCCTTTGCCATGTCCCGACATCCAACTAGTGAGGCTTGAACTCTCAAGTGGGGCAAAGGGCGCCACCTGCCATTTGCAGTGGTTAGTTTGCACTGCAGTACAGAGCTGCGATTGCTTTAGCAGTTCCTTTCTTCAATGTTGCATGTTTCTTGAATTTTTAAAGCACTTCAGACAGAGAAAGAAAGAGAAAGAAAGAGAGAGAAAGAGAGTGTGTGTGTGGGAGAGATAGCGAGAGAGAAAAAGAAAGAGAGAGAGAGAGAGCGAACGAGACAGCGCGCAAGAGAGCAATACAGCTACACGGATCCGCACAAAAAGCCCCACCATCGATCCGCCATCCCCCGGAGAGGAGAGGGAGAGAGAGACAGAAGAGAGTGAGAGAGAAAGAGAGAGGGTGAGTGAGAGGAAGAGGGAGAGAGAGACAGAAGAGAGTGAGAGAGAAAGAGAGAGGGTGAGTGAGAGGAAGAGGGAGAGAGAGACAAAAGAGAGAGTGAGAGGGAAACAGAGAGGGTAAGTGAGAGGGAGAGGGGGAGAGAGACAAAATAGAGGGTGAGAGGGAAAGAGAGAGAGAGAGAGAGAGAGAGAGAGAGAGCGAGAGAGGAGAGAGAGCGAGAGAGGAGAGAGAGAGAGAGAGAGAGAGAGAGAGAAGAGAGAGAGAGCAGAGAAGAGAGAGAGAGCGATGAGAATAGAGGGCAAGAAAGAAAGACAGAGAAAGAAAGAGTGCGAAGGGGGGTGAGAAAGAAAGACAAGAGAAAGAGAGAGAGCGAGAGAGAAGGAGTAGAGAGAAAGAGAAAGAGCTGTCAGGGTTCCAAGGCTTTTCATTTATAAGCATAGGCGGTGCTGCTTTATCGGTCCTAGTTTGGCAAATCGCCGAAGGCGGTTGCGTGCTAGGGTGGTCGGGGCTATGATATTTAGCGATGGCGGCTATGATATTTAGAGTGGCGGGTGCATTTTGAGATGCAGGGCTCGACGATAGCCTGGCGGGCCGCCAGGCTATAAGTGCTCTTGGAGAACCCTGTGTGTGCAAGAGAGAGTGCGCGCGTGCAAGAGAGAGAGAGAGAGCAATACAGCTACACAGATCCACACAAACTCGTTAACCCTACCGCCGTAGTAGCTCGGCAGGTTTTCCTTTCAGCTGACGAGCATGCGCAGCTGGAGAGAGAGGTTGTATGCGAGTAGGCTCTGCTCGACCCACGCCAGCCCCACCATCAATCCCCGCCATCCCCCGGAGAGGAGAGGGAGAGAGAGAGAGACAGAAGAGAGTGAGAGAGAAAGAGAGAGGGTGAGTGAGAGGGAGAGGGAGAGAGAGACAAAATAGATGGTGAGAGGGAAAGAGAGAGAGAGTGAGTGAGAGGGCGAGTAAGAGGGAAAGGGAGAGAGAGAGAGAGAGAGAGAGAGAAAGAGAGAGAGAGAGAAAGAGAGATGGAGAGAGAGCGAGAAAGAAAGACAGAGAAAGAAAGACAGAGAAAGAAAGAGAGAGCGAGAAAGAAAGACAGAGAAAGAGAGAGAGAGAGAGCGAGTGAGAGAGAAAAGAGAAAGAGTGTGTGCAAGAGAGAGTGAGCGCGTGCAAGAGAGAGAGAGAGAGAGAGCAATACAGCTACACAGATCCACACAAACTCGTTAACCCTACCGCCATAGTAGCTCCGCAGGTTTTCCTTTGAGCTGACGAGCATGCGCAGCTGGAGGGAGAGGTTGTATGCGAGTAGGCTCTGCTCGACCCACGCCAGCCCCACCGTCGATCCGCCATCCCCCGCTGCAGCAGCCTTCTCCGCGGTGTGCACGGAGTCTGCTAGCATCGGGTGAAGCCACCGCTGCTCACTCACAAATGGCCAATATCCATTCCTGGCGCCGGTCTGAAATACGAAATACGCTGTAATAGTATGGACTACTTCATACGCGCATGCACACATTCTATAAACCAGTACTTATTGTTAGGTCAGCGTTGATTGATATCGCTCTTGTTCGCCAGTTCGTGTGTGGCTGCTTTCATATTGTGAGTTTTAACTTCCAATTAGATTGCGAATGGGTCCAGACCTATATCACACTGATAGTCAGACACAAATGTGGCCTACATAAAATCTTGGTTATAGCTACCTCCTCTTTCAATCCATGGTTAAGGATATTTTCGACAGACCTAGTCAGGCGTCCTAGTCCACCGTAAACCTTCCAGATGCCACCACTGTTGTTTGCCAGCAATCTTTCAGCCGTACTTTTTAGTCCGACAAGTAAGGTCTCACAGTCCCTACAATATTATTTGAGACACATCTCTATATAAACTGAACAGAAGACAATGCTAGTGTACATTATGTCATATGTTCATCTCATAATCCCGAGATGTTACGTTGTTATTTGCATATACTAGCTGGTATCCTTCACACTGGATATGGTGACAGAATAGTTATTGCTTTAAGGAAGTAAGCCCATGCAACAAACAAGCAGGAACATTAATACATAATAACAGAGGCGTGTTCAGGAGACCGAACGCTCGCGAGCGCTCGCGAGCGTTTGCGCGCAAGTTTGAAAAGCTGTTCGCTCAGCGCGCGAGTTGTTTACAAGATGGCGACGAAAAATCTGGCGAATGCGAATCTAACATTTCTGACGTCAATTTGCAATCTATTTCAACTTTATTTCACTTTTCATTCATTCATTTACTTTTAAATGTAATTTGTATCAATTTCGTCTGCTAATTCGTTTAACAGTACTTGTTCTCTCGCGATTAAAATCTGCTGAGTAACCCTCCATCAGGGCCGCCATCTTTGATCAAGCGAGCGCACAGCGAGCGCTCGTGTGTCGTTCAGGAGGCGCTGCGTTCGTTCATCGAGCGTTCGCATTGAGCGCTCGCTCTCCTGAACACGCCTCAGGAGTGGATAATAGAGATAATCTCTATTATCCACTCCTAATAATAACAAGTTGGGTATACTGCAAATGTACGTGTTTCCTCAAAGTAGTGGTACCTGTGCATTAAAAGGCAACATGAGAGGGTAAACCCGTGACTTCAATTGCATCAATGTTCCTGTTGCTTCCCGGTCCCCCTCACCGGATATTATTATTAATTATTAATACTTTACATTTACAGTTTACTGGACTCTTCTTAATCATGACCCAGTTTAACCAAACTATAGGGTGATACTCCATTAGGAGTGTTCCCAACTTTAATGTCATTAATATGGTCATAATAACATATATATATATATATATATATATATATATATATATATATATATATAATATATATATATATGTTCATGGTCATATATTAGTTTGTGGTTTAATGTCATTTAGGTTAGGGTTAGGGTTAGGGTTAGGATTATCAATCATTAATCATTAATGATATCAAAGTTGGAAACACTCCTAATGGAGAATTAGCCAAACTATAGCTCATAGGGTCTATGTCCCCCAGGGTACTACCGGAACGTACCCTGGTAACTATCTGATATGGTTAGGGTTAGGGTTAGGGAGTAGGTGTAGGCGACTCCCACTCCCACGTTGATTTATATGCTCTGGTACCAGGGTACGTTCCGGTATACCGGACCGTACCCAGAGTACGTTCCGGCAGTACTATATCATAATCATGGTACAGTGAGTCATTGACATTGCATGATTATAATAATAATATGCGGATGCATCGATTTTATGGAGCTCCGAGTCTCTATCTACTATAGTACTAATACTATTGCTGAAGGTGTCGTTGTCGTATCAGGTACTACAGATATGGGCATGGCCACCCGAGGTACATATATATATATGTATACACAAAGTATACCAGACTTGTACTACAGAAGTGTACCCTAACTCTAACCTTAGCCCTAACCCTAGCCCTAACCCTAACCCTAAAGATACCTCATATAAAAATATAAACATAATACTAAACAACCTAAAACTACCTCGGGTACATATCTGTAGACTGTAGTACCTGACAGTGATACGACAACGACCCCATCTGCTCTACTATTCTTCTAGTATCTATTGCCGAAGTCTAAGGATTTTAAACAACGAAACAAAATTCACGACCAGCTTCATTTCTCGTTTACACAGTATATATATTTGCGCTACACATAACTACATCAGCGTAGACGTAAAGTTATTATTTAATAATCTATACCTTCCCTCCTCCGTTTCCGACATGTTTATTTACATCGCCATACTTGATCTTACCAAGGATATTACTACAATTTTGCCCGATAGATGTCGCATTTGTTTCCAATATCAAAGGCACCCGGCAGTTAGATGCGATATGATATGACTACTAGGCACTTAGAATATGACTACTAGGCACTTAGAATATGACTACTAGGCAACTT